ATGGTTGGATGATATCACCAACTCGATGAACATGAGTTTGAACAAGCTCTAGGAGATGGTGAAGGACAGGGAAGCCTGGTGTGCTGCAGTTCATAGGGTCGCAAAAAGTTGGACACAACTTAGCGACTGAACAACAACAGCAATGAAATAACGGACATAGACAGCAAACATCAATGGCTGCCAAAACTAATAGCTGAAGAGGTGACAAGAAAATTTATGTTGTTTATCATAAACTTTATCAGTTGGACAACATCTCAACCCAATAACCAAATCATAACATGACAGAAAGATAACCAGACAGTGAATGCTTCTTAAAGCTATGCAATGGGAAGTAAACAATAACACCTATGAAGTCTTCTCCAGGGAAAAAACAAAAATCCTGCAAACTTAACAATCCTGTAGATTTAACTATCAGTTTACAAAAAAAAAAAAAGAGAGAGAGAGAGAGAGTAAGAGAGAAAAGACATCATATGTATCCATACAATTTGCAAAATTCAGAATGTGTGAAATTCTACAGAATCATTATTTTTTAACAAATAGACTGTGATGACAAAATTAAAGGGGAATCTACAGATTGAAAAACACTAAATGTAATGTGGATACTTTGTTTAGGTCTTGATTTCAGCAAATCAATTGTAAAAATGTAGAATAAAATTTAAGACAAATTTGACATTGAGTGTCTCTTTTATGATATTACAATACTGTTAAAATTTTAGTACTAATCATATTGCAATAATGTTCTTTTTAAAAGCCCTTTTATAATTTAGATATACTCATAATTCCAGAAAGCTTAACCTTAAATACTTATCAATAAAATAATATGATGTCTGGAATTCACTTTAAAAGAATCCAAAGGACTGGAAGGAAGACTATGTATTAATCACCAGGGGATCTTCCTTACCCAAACATCGAAACCTGGTCTCTTGGCACTGCAAGCAGTCTTAAAGTCTGAACCACCAGGGAAGCCCCAAGAATACTGTTGTGGGTAGGTATTCCCTTCTCCATGGTATCTTTCCCACCCAGGGACCAAACCAGCGTCTCCCGCAAGGCGGACAAGTTATTCACCGTCTGAGGCACCAGGGAAGCCCTTATTTACACTAGTTGATTAATACAGATGTGTTTGTTAACTTACTTAAGATATGTATGAATACAGAGATTGGGTATTCCAAGTGAGTTGATTAAATTTAGTATTTCTGATATCCTGCCTCATCGTTAAAATCATTAAAGACTGAAAACAACTACTCAGAGAAAGAAACATAGAACAAAGTTAGAGGGGGGAAAAAAAGCAGTTATGAAAGTATAATGTGAGTGGGCACGCAAAAACTTCACTGAAAAAAGAAGTAACTCCCAATGTCTACAATCGGGGCGGGAAGCAATGGTCTACCTCGAGACTCCTTATCTGTTACCGAATGCCAAGGGTGCAAGTTAGTAAAGGGAAAAAAAAAACACCTAATCTGGGAACTAGAAGGCTAACAATGCCGAGCTTTGTAAATCACAAATCACTTAACCTGCGTAGGTTCTGGAGGATGACAACACAGCAAATTAAATAATCACAGCAACAATAATAATTGCATTGCATGTACTAGCTGTAGACCTCACACTTGTCTTAAGGTGTTTGCATACTTTATCCTTAAACTTCACAGCAACCCAAGGTGGTGGGGTGGGCGACTGACGCTAACTGCTTAGAGGCGTACTGCATGAGGTAGGCATCAATTCATGGGACCATTTCTCAAAAGAGGAGACTGAGGGTCGGAGGCCAACGACTCGTTTAAGGTTCTACACTGGAACGACTTGGCCCGGCCAATATTCCAAGTTTGTTTAAACACGAAAGAATGCTTTGAACACTCCAAAGCACTGACTATACATGAAAGAAGCTTGTGGGGACTGTGTGAAATTCTGGAGAACTCAAAACCGTTCCCACAGACCTACAGGTTTTCGTCGCTTTACACACCTCGCTCCCACCGGGGAAAACAAAACAAAACAAAACAGCCCTTCACCCACCGCTAGGAAGCCTGTGCTCACAGGTGGACTTCAAGCCCTGGCTTCCCAACACCTCCACCCGCCAGCCCCCAGCCTTCTCGCATCTTCGGTGTGTGACCTTCGAACTACATCTCCCATAAAGCCGTGCGCAGACACCTGCCCTTCACCGGAAGTCCGCGAGGCTCCATCCGGCGTCGGGAAGAGGGAGTGTGGGGTTTCCCGGCTGTTGGACTGCAAACCCCGGTGTCTGTTACCCTGGTCACCTGTGGGTTAGTAGCAGCAGCGGCGAGTTGGTGGGCCCGGGCGCCTTCTGGAGCTGGTAACCAGTTCTCTGTGCTCTTTCCGTCTCCGCGCTGACGGGCCCTGCGCTGCTGGGTGGTGTGTCGCAGCCTCGCGCTAGGGCGCGGACGCAGGTGTGGACTTAAGAGCCTGGGCTTCCGGGAGGGGGCTGGGCGCGCAGTCGACCCTGCAGTCTCTGAGGTGGGGATTCGCTGTGGGTTCACTTCAGTATCTTTAAAGAACTCTCACATTCCTGGCACGAAAACAGACGTTCAAGGAACTTAAGAGACGCTGGAGAGACAGTGCATGGGGCGGGGAGGGGGGCGTTTGGTAGGTGAGCCTCAGGAATGCCCCAGAAATTCGGGTCAGTGACCGCAGTGACAAAGCAGTTTGTGCGGTCTGCCCTGTCTCTTGAGCCATGTGGCCTTGGACCAGTCAGGGGACCTAGTCCACACATCCATAAAACTGGGTGATGGTTTTACTCAAAGTGCGAGATCCTTTAAAGTCAAGATTCTATAAAACCGTCTCTGAGGATCGTCCATATTCTTGCAAAGCAAGGGCAGCATTTAGCTAAGTGAATCACCTCATCCTGGCTTCAAACACCCTGTCTTCATAAGAACCTGAGGAGAAATGAAAAAGTAAATCGAACAGTAGAGCTGGACTTTAGACTTCTGTGTGCTCTTCTGGAACGAGTAATGGTTCTGTTTCTAGATGGCTTTTCTTGCGAGAAAGCGTAAGAGGGGAAAGTATATATTTTCTACTCTTTTCTCCTGAAAATACTGTATGCATAAGCATTGCACTGTGGGTAATGAATGGTACTGTATTTTTGGAGGCCAATTTTGCAGTCAACCGGGAGTGAGTGGACTGTGGAGAAAGTGAGAAAGTGACCATGACTTAAATATTGCATATAATAAGCCATACTGTTTGAGTAAACTCCAGGAGTTGGTGATGGACAGGGAGGCCTGGCGTGCTGCGATTCATGGGGTCACGAAGAGTCGGACACGACTGAGCAACTGAACTGAAGCCATACTGAAGACCCTGGATGATACGATTTTAAGGAAAAAGCAGTTTCAAAGGGAAAACCATACATGAGTCAGTATACAGCAGTACAAAATAAAATCCTGAAAAGTAGCTTCTGTTATTCATAATATTTTTAATGCATTTATAAATCTTAATATGAAGAGAATGGTGAAGTAAATTCTAGGGTAAATCAAAAGAAATGAATTGTTTTCTAATCCAGAAGTCACCCCTCCTAATTTAAGTTGTATAGAGCATTTCAGTATTTTGTTTCTATTCCTGTGAGTACTTTTAGCCTATTTGTAGGTAGCAGAAAGATAGTAAACAGGTAAAGTGAACAGACACAAATAAGAAAGTTAATCTCCAGCCAATTTTTTCCTTTAAATATTGTCATGCTGTTACTGCTAGACAGTTGATAAACAAAATTGCAGTCAGAACCTTAAAGACAACTGCTGTCAAAAATTATGGATTATGTAACATTTCTTTCTTTATAGTGTCAGTAGATTATTCTCAGAAGGTAGAAACCTAGTTAGAATCCCAAATCTTTTCTTAATAGAATTTCACAGAAAAAAAAAATCATACCTTAAAAAAAAAGTACTTTGAGGAGTTCATAAACTGATATATGATCCATTTCCCTTCAAAATTATGCCCTACCACAATTCAGTGGTAGTTTTGCCCTACCACATTCAGCCCACAATTAGGAAGCATTTATTAGAGAATATGGAACAATTAGTTTCGATCCCTGGGTCAGGAAGATCCCCTGGAGAAGGGCATGGCAACCCTTGCCATTATTCTTGCCTGGAGAATCCCGTAGACAGAGGAGCCTGGTGGGTGGCAGTCCATGGGGTCCAACAGAGTCACACATGACTCAAGCAACTTGGCATGCACACATGCAGACGCACATAGAACAATTCTTTCTTACTGAAGTAACAGGGTGACAAAACAGACAAAGTTAATGATTTTAAAAGCTTCTGTGATTCAAGGATAGACAAAGTGACCAATAGAGCAATGTCTAGTAATAGATCCAAAATATATGGTCATCTCATTTATGACAAGTATAATACTGCAATATAATGGGACAAAGACAATAAATTTGAGAATGACCCTGACTCAGATGGATTTTATCTATTGGGATAAAAATGTATCATGACCCCTACCTCACACCATGAGCAAAAATCAATCCCTGATGGATTAATCAATCCCTGTGAAAGGTAAAGCAATAAGTTTTTTTCACATAAACCTAGTTCTTTCAGTGGGATCATTATTTCCCTGAGAGGACAGATCTGTTTCTAGTATCATTTAAGAGAATACTGCTTGTCATCTGCTAAAAACACCTGTCTTATTTCTATCTACTGTAACTCCTCTCATGCCCTGATCTGTATTGAAGTCCCTCTGGTTTGCCTCCAATACACTTTCCTGTTTGTCATATCTTTTACCTTATCCCCCCTCCCACTGATGTCACTCCCTTCAACTGTTTTCCACCAAAGTTCTTTATACATTATTTTATACATCGCTCATATTGAATTACATTTAACATTCTCAACTGATAACAGTTTTTAAGTGTATCCTGTGATGACATTTGACAGTTACCTTTTTAAGAGTAAATTGTTTTAGAAACCATAACTAATGTTCTAATTATATCAGCACTCTGATAATGTTCAATCACCGATACAAGAAAGCAATTGTAAATGAGTTTTTTCCTATTTTCCTCTTTTAAGGAAGAGATGTCTTCTGTAAAAAGAAGTCTGAATCAAGAAATAATATCCCAGTTTCACTCTTCAGCTGCAGAAGGAGATATTGCCAAGTTAACAGCAATACTCAGTCATTCTCCATCTCTTCTCAATGAAACTTCTGAAAATGGCTGGACTGCTTTAATGTATGCTGCGAGGAATGGGCACCCAGATGTTGTCCAGTTTCTACTTGAGAAAGGGTAAACGTTTTAGGCTGTGCCACCTGAAGAGTGTCTGGTTTAATTTCTGGGTTATGTATTTTCTTTTAAATTTTTCATGTAGCTATATTTATAACATTGGGCCTGTAAATAACTCAGTGAACAGTCTTGTTATATAATAGCATAATTTCTAATTTAAAACTTAACTTTTCTAATTGGGGAATTAACTTTTCATACTTAATAGCCAAGCAGTTAATGAGTTAATCTAATTTTTTTCCAAAATAAAAAATGTAAATCTGCCCACTATGACTACTGAAAACTCCTTGTAAAAATTTAATATCTGCTTACAGCACATAAAATCTATGCTTTTTATTTTATAAAGAATCTTCCAGAAATTTTAAACATCCACTGTCTCTAACTTTTAATCATCTATGATTGGTTTTTAACCTTTCCATTAATATATTATGTTCTAAAACAAAAATAAATTATGTAATTATTAAATAGAGGGACTATTGTATACATCTAGAAAATTTTATCATAATAAATACTGAAGAAAATGTTTGCTATTTTATTTTTTGCTTCTATCCATAGGTGCGACAGATCCATTGTCAACAAATCAAGGCAGACTGCACTGGATATAGCTAAATTTTGGGGTTATAAGCATATAGCTAACTTATTAGCTAATGCTAAAGGTGGGAAGAAACCTTGGTTCCTAACCAATGAGGTGGAAGAATGTGAAAATTATTTTAGCAAGACACTACTGGACCGGAAAAGTGAAAAAAGAAGTAATTCTGACTGGCTGTTAGCAAAAGAAAGCCATCCAGCCACAGTTTATATCCTTTTCTCAGATTTAAATCCCTTGGTTACTCTAGGTGGCAATAAAGAAAGTTTTCAACAGCCAGAAGTCAGGCTTTGTCAGCTGAACTACACAGATATAAAGGATTATTTGGCTCACCCTGAGAAGATCACCTTGATTTTCCTTGGAGTAGAACTTGAAATGAAAAAAGAGTTTTTTAATTATGCTGGGGAATTCTCAAAAGAAGAAGAAGATGGGTTGGTTGCCTGGTTTGCTTTAGGTATAGATACTGTTGCTGCTGAAGAATTTAAGCAAAGGCATGAAAATTGTTACTTTCTTCATCCACCAATGCCAGCTCTTCTGCAATTGAAAGAAAAAGAAGCTGGTAAGAAGTAAACACTTGTTTACTTGTATTGGTAATAATCTGGTTTTGGGTACTGGATTGGAATTGCATGTATCTGCAATTTCTAGGAAGCACACTTTTTCCAGGAAGCAATGAACTTAGGCTGTCTTCAGTAGAAACTTCCTGAAGTTCTTACCCTAGAGGACTACTCTTCTGGGTGGTAACAGCAGTTTTAATCAGCCAAGATTAGTTTCCCCAGAATTAACCCTAATGCATACTGGTTTCATTTCATTGTTCAGTGAATGATTATTGAGTGCCTGAAACATGCTGGCAAAGACCTTGACTATTTTGCTTTGTTTTCCGTTGCTTTTTATACCAGTTCACACGGGGTCTTTTATATATCATGCTAAGAAATGAGAGATTTTATCCTAAATTCCATTTAAATGTTATAATTTGGCCTGTGTTAAAAAAAAAAATCACTCTAGCTGCTTTGTAGCTCATGAACTGTAGATAGTTAAGTGCGGAAGTCCAGAATCCTGTTAGGAGGTTGAAGATTACAGTAGCCCAGGTAAGAGAATGCAGTGACTTGGATGAGTGGAGTAGAGAGAAAGGGAGAGTTTTGAAATATTACAGAGCTAGAACTGATAGGGCTTGAACAGTAGGTTAAGACTTATAAGTGAGAGAAAGAGAGATAATAGTAACATAAACTACAGCCTGAGTTGTTAGGATGATAGTAGGGGAGATGGAGGAAAAGTGATACAGTCAAGGTATATTTTGAAGAGAAAATCAACAGTACTTGTGAATGGAGTGGGTGTGTTATATATAATAATGAAGTGAGAGAGGGAGAAGGACTGCTAAGTTTGAAACTTTAGTCACTTGGTAGATACTAATAAGCTTTATTGATAAAATAATACAGAGTCGTGGGTATAGCAAGGGAAGCAGGACAGACTTGAAGTAAATAAATGAAGATTTTATCTTTGAGCATGTTAAGTTTTACTGAAGGGAAACAGAATCTGGAACAAAGAGGAAAGAACTAGAATAGACCTGTATGAAAGTCATCAACACAATGGTGGTGTTTAAATCCCAGGAAACTTTCACGTTACATAAAAAGTTGAGAGCAAGCAAGAAGGAAAACCTGAGAATTACCTGAATCCCCCTGAGTTTCAGAGGTCAGATAGGAGAGGAGCCTCTGAAGATGATGTTGATAGTATGGCCACAAGTAAGAAGTAACAGAAGAATGTGCTCATAGCACACAAGAGAGCAAAGTGTTTCTTGGAGTTACTAGTCAAATATATTGAATGCCACGGAGAGTGAGTAAGATGAAGATAAAGAATTTTTGTAAGAGCCTTTAGTTTGATAATATGAAGCTGTTGGTAATTTGATGAGAGGAGTGTCAGTGAAATAGAAGGAGTGGAAGGTATACTACGGTAGACTGAAGAGTTAATGGGAGGTGAGGAAGGGGTCACTTGTCAGTGTCCACTTTGCCTTAGGTAACCTGGCAGGCTCTTCCAGAGACCTCTTAGACACTCATCTCAAAATCTGGAGTGTTATGTTTTATCCTGTAGATCTGTGGGGAAAACACTTATGAGTTTAAAATTTCTTCTCTTTGAAGCTGTATATGTAATTACAAGTTCTTAAAAAAAAATAGTAAGGAAACTGAGGCTCTTTTACTCAGCTGCTGTGTAACCTTATATAGATCCTCTGTGTGCCTCAGTTTCCTACTCCCAAAAATGAGGACAATAATGGTACCTACATTATTCAATTCAGTCGCTCAGTCATGTCTGACTCTTTGCGACCCCATGAACCGCAGCACACCAGGTCTCCCTGTCCATCACCAACTCCCGGAGTCCACCCAAACCCATGTCCATTGAGTCGGTGATGCCATCCAACCATCTCATCCTCTGTCATCCCCTTTTCCTCCTGCCCCCAATCCTTCCCAGCATTAGGGTCTTTTCAAATGAGTCAGCTCTTCGCATCAGGTGGCCAAAGTATTAGAGTTTCAGCTTCAACATCAGTCCTTCCAATGAATACCCAGGACTGGTTTCCTTTAGGATGGACTGGTTGGATCTCCTTGCAGTCCAAAAGACTCTCAAGAGTCTTCTCCAACACCACAGTTCAAAAACATCAATCCTTCAGCACTCAGCTTTCTTCACAGTCCAACTCTCACATCCGTACATGACCACTGGAAAAACCATAGCCTTGACCAGATGGACCTTTGTTGGCAAAGTAATGTCTCTGCTTTTTAATATGCTGTCTAGGTTGGTCATAACTTTGCTTCCAAGGAGTAAGTGTCCTTTAATTTCATGGCTGCAGTCACCATCTGCAGTGATTTGGGGGCCCAAAAAAATAGTCAGCCACGGTTTCCACTATTTCCCCATCTATTTGCCATGAAGTGATGGGACCGGATGCCATGATCTTAGTTTTCTGAATATTGAGCTTTAAGCCAACTTGTGCACTCTCCTCTTTCACTTTCATCAAGAGGCTCTTTAGTTCTTCTTCACTTTCTGCCATAAGGGTGGTGTCATCTGCATATCTGAGATTACTGATATTTCTCTCGGCAATCTTGATTCCAGTTTTGTGCTTCCTCCACCTACATTATAGTGTTGCTCCAAACATAAAATAAATGATGTATGTTAAGATCTTTGCTGAGTGCTTGACACATAGTAAGTACTCAATAAATGTTAGCTTTTCTTACTGTAATGAGAGTGAAATAATGGAGGTACTTTGAGGTAAGTTACATATTACAGAGTAACAGAGCAGGCAGATATTTAATGTTGCCTAGGTTCATTGAATGTCACTGTTACATTTGTTTTAATTTATGGCTTATTCATTTTTCCCAATTTAAAACATTATTGCTATTTATGGTTATTTTATTTCAAAATCCTTAGACCAAATACTTTATTTTAGGGGAGAGAAGTTTTGTCAGGCATTTGAAATGTAGCTTTTCTACTCTTATTGCCCCAGTTCTGTTATTTTTGGTCAGGCCATATTATTTTTTGAAGTATCAAGGTAAAGGTTGTAGACAGGGTGTACATAGTCTTAAGATTTATTCTATTAGGCATTTTCGTCATAAACAAAGTTAATCACAAGAGTTGTAAACACAATGTTTTAAAAATATTCTATGTACTTCCCAGTTATAAACAGAATATGTTCCACAATGACACACACCAGTACTGTCTTAGGCACCAAGGAAAGTAGAGATAGATTCCTACAGTTTCCTAGTAATCTTTGATTTGTGGTCCAAATCTAACTTAGGGACTGTCTTTGTAGTGTATTTTTATGAAAGTCACTATCGTAAAGTCTTCCCTGGACTTGCCTGGTGGCTCAGATGGTAAAGCGTCTGCCTACAATGTGGGAGACCCGGGTTCAGTCCCTGGGTCAGGAAGATCTCCTGGAAAAGGAAATGGCAACCCACTCCAGTGTTCTTGCCTGGAAAATCCCACGGACAGAGGAGTCTGGTGGGCTACAGTCCATGGGGTCACAAAGAGTTGGACACAACTGAGAGACTTCACTATTGTAGTCAGTATACACTAGAGTCGTGTATATCCAAAATTTACAAATCACCTATGGTAAAAGCCTAAACTTATACAGTGTATATGGATGTTAGTACATCCATCTTATATGAGAGTTTTATTTCATTAGTCCAAATGAAAGGTAAATCTAATTTTCATTTGTCATCTGTAGAATTAAATCTTTTAATTTAAAAGACATATACAGATTAAAAAAATAGGAAAACTAAAACCTTTGATCACACACCTACAATACAATACATGTCTTTATTATGACTTAAGAATGTTCTTTCCTTATGTATTAATGTGTTTACCATTTGTCATAGAATTAAAGCTGCTTTTGCTCCTGTCATAGGAGTTGTAGCTCAAGCAAGATCTATTCTCGCCTGGCACAGCCGGTATAAGTTCTGCCCAACCTGTGGAAATGCAACTAAAATTGAAGAAGGTGGCTATAAAAGAGTATGCTTAAAAGAAGACTGTCCTAGTCTCCATGGCGTGCACAATACATCATACCCACGAGTTGGTAAGCCTTTTCTTTTACAGTGAAATCTCAGCCATCTGAAAACCTTAGGGAATGAGACATTCTGGAAAGATAAGATTTTGAGTTGCCAAGGAGCTTTACCTTTTTATTAAAAGTATGTTTAATTTAACCATTAAGACTATAAGTATTAAAGTATTACCTAATTTGGTGACTTTTAAGTAAAGGACATTGTACATAACTGGCCATTTCTTAACCTTGGGTTAATCAGCATGAATTTGATGTGTTGAGGTACAGGATTTCAAAAGCCCACCATCTGGGTCCATTTAGTGAACAGAGGAAAAAAAAAAAAAAAAAAACGCCCTAACAGTCCAGTACCTGCTTGTGGCATCACCAAAACAGCCTGGAGCTAGCTTCTCCTTCCTGCTGGTGTCTGCCGCTGCCTTCTCTCTCCCAATCACTGCTTTGAGTTGGCTGTGGAATTGGAAATGTGATAACCCAGCCCTTTAAAACTGTGCAAAAAGGGACATATCCAGCCACACCAGGAGGTCTCCTGGGAGTAAAGCGCATGGCCTAGTGACAGGCGTTTGCTGCTCAGAGCATTTCACATTTGATTACTGATCCTCCGTCATAATCTAGTGAGGCGAACTCACTGAATTAGTGACTTCTCAAATCATTCCAGAAGTCACTAATGCAGTGAATATTATTTAAATAAGTTAATTTTTTAATGGATTTAACCATCAAGCCATATTAGCTTTTAAAAACGCTTTGTTAAGGATGAGAAGGGGGTGACAGAATGAGATGGTTGGGTAGCATCACCAACTCAGTGGACATGAGTTTGAGCAAACTCTGAGAGACAGTGAAGGACAGGAAAGCCTGGCATGCTTCAGTCCATGGGGTCACAAAGAGTCAGACATGACTTAGTGACTGAACAACAAACAACAACAAGGATTGGAATGGAAGGAGAGATTTACTATGGTAAAATATGAATTTTCTCCATGCTATGTATTAGTTATTTGAACTTCTTTCTAATTAAAAAAATAAGCCTAGCATACTGTAAATATACAATAAGTGTTGCTATTAAGATGAGAAAGAAGACAAAAATGGCCTTTCTTTAGCTTTCTGACAGTATTCTATGCAATTTCCCTGAAATACTGTGTTTAGGCAGATAGAAACAACCTCTTGTAACTAGGCAAAAGTCTTGCTCTTATAGGAGGTATATACATTTGTATTATCCTATTAGACAGTGACTTTACACAATGGGTCTAAATTGTTTTTTCCTGTCATTCATACATCTGATTTTTTTAAACAGATCCAGTGGTAATCATGCAAGTTATTCATCCCGATGGGACCAAATGTCTTTTAGGCAGGCAGAAGAGATTTCCTCCAGGCATGTTTACTTGCCTCGCTGGATTTATTGAACCTGGTGCGCCTTTTCTGTATAATTTTTATAGTTATTTCCGTTTAACTTATGATTTCTAAATAAAAACTTTGGACAGCATTTGAAGAGTAATCTCTGACAAACTATCATGTTATAAAACTGGAGTATTTTAAAGTATTTTCTGTGTTTTAAATAATATAATTTTTGTTGTTACTAGTGGAATAGTTTCATCTGTTTTAAAAAATTCTTTGCTTTTTCATATATTGCTCTTACCCAAGGCATCACTTCCTTCTGTACTAGACTCAGTTGTCACCTTTTCAGAGAGACTTTCCCAGATGGCACCAAGTATGAATTAGTTAAGCCCATATCCTACACTCACAGTCCCTGTTATCCAGTCTGGCTTTTCCCTAGAGCACTCATCAGCACCTAACAGGTTATATGTGTAAGTATGTATTTACTTATCTACCTTTCTTTCTATTTATTTATTATTTGCTAGTGCCAGAAAGTAAGTTCCATAAAGGCAAGGACTTTGTTTTATTTATTGCTCTATCCCAAACCCTTAGAGCATATGCCTCATATGTTGTAGAAATTCAATAAATATTCAATAAATATTCATGAAAGAAATGAGTATATCTAATTAGCACATGTTTAATCTCAATTTCCAGTATCAATCTACACTTAAAGTACTAAACATATGAACTTTTGCAAAGGCTTTCTATATTAAATCATATTTGTATATTAAATCATATCATCCTCATACAACTTTACATAGTAGATACTGTTTCAGCATAGGGGCTGAATAACTTGCCCAGGAACAAGCAGCTAGTAGGTGATAGGACAGGCATTCAAACCTGGGCAGTTTGGCTCTAGGTCCGTGCTCCTAATTACTATGCTGCCTCTAGTAGCTCTAGGTCATTTTTTAACTGCTGTGTAGCCTCCCATTTATGAATATTCCACAACTCATTTATCCATTCTGCTATAAGCTTTTACTGTTACAGGCAACACTGCAGTAAATATTCTTGAACTATTCCTTGTGTACATTTGGCCTCCATAGGTTGTATATCCAAGAGTAGGGCTGCTAGCTCATAGACTATGAGCATCTTAATCTTTCCCACATATTGCCAAGTTGTTTTCTGAAACATTCCTGCCAGTTTACACTGCCTCTGTAAGTACATGAAATCTCTGTTATTCCTCATCTTTACAGAGTTAGAAATATCAGGATTTTTATTTGCTATTCTGATGGGTATGAAGTGGTATGTCATTGTAGTTTTAACTTTTATTTCCCTGCTGATGAAGCATCTTTTTCAGATGTATATTAGGCATGCATTTTATTTTCCCCTGAATTTTATATTTTATAGTCTTTGTTTTTGTTTTGGTTGTTTAATCTTTTTTTCTTATTGATTTTAGGGGTTTTTTAATATGCACTGTATGCTAAAATTTATTTAGGTTTGGTCTAGTAGATTGCTAGTCTATGAGTTATCTTTTCAATATTTTTTATAAACATAAATTAATTTTTATATAGGAAATTTACCAATCTGTTTGAAATAGAAAGCTATATTTAAATAACAGAATATTTCTAAACTCTCAGATAAACTTACAAATTACTCCATTTATTCTAATTCTCAATTTCAATAAATCAGAAATATAAATTCATTTATAGGCATCACTTTATTTTATCATAGCTGGGTCAGTAATTGTCTAGAGAATAATTATTTGGAAAGAGAAAATGAGTTTCATTTTATGCTGTTTTTAAACTTTTAGTGTTATTTGGTTTTTAACTCTTTGGAAAAGTGTTATCTGTAATAGTTGTTTGACAACATAAGAAAACTGTTTCAAGATTTTAGTGAGGAAAATGTTAGCCACATACACCAGATGATACATAAAATGTTTGCTTAGTGTTTAGCCAATAGTAAGTAGGTACTAGATATTTGTAGATGTTACCAATTTTTAAATGTAACAAATTTAGACCTTTAAGAAATGAAAAGTTTCCTGGCATTTTGGTTCTATGTATAGTCATATATTTAAAAAGTAATGTTTCTTAAATTCCAATCTACTTTTGGACTTCTGCTTTCTGATCCGATGAATTGGGTTTCTGTCCAAAGTGATTTTCCAAGGTTTGAACCATTTGGAGCGCAAAATGCCCAGCCATGCTCATCAGCTGCTTGTCCTTTTGCCGCATTTGATTAGGGGAGACAATAGAAGACGCTGTCCGGAGAGAAGTAGAAGAGGAGAGCGGGGTCAAGGTGGGCCATGTTCAGTATGTCTCCTGTCAGCCGTGGCCAATGCCCTCCTCCCTGATGCTCGGCTGCCTCGCTGTGGCAGTGTCGACAGAAATCAAAGTGGACAAGAACGAAATAGAGGATGCCCGCTGGTTCACTAGAGAACAGGTAAAGTTCAGTCTAATTTCCTTCTCCTGTTGATTGTTCTCTGACTGTATTGGTTTGGGCATGTAGCAAGGATACATGTTTTCAACAAGTTGAATGAATGGCTATGGCCCCCTCATCATTCATGGATTACGCCGTAATTGATGTGTCCTATGTTACTCCTGCTGTGAGACACTCCTAGTAATGATGAGTCTGTGCCAGTTTCTTATTTCAGATGCTGTTCCCTGAGATTAATGATCCTTTCAGTGGCCTTAAAATGAGTGCTCATTATTTCAGATGAGAAGCAGGAATATTATTATTAGACATAGTTTATAGTGTTGAAACAAGTAACTCAAAAAATATCAGTAAAACTGCATAAAAGTTTTGAAGACTTCTTGACCCTTTTAAATGTACTTGACGAGACTGACACAACTGTTTAACAAAGATACACTCAGGACTTCTTAAAACTTGTCCTTAAGTGATACAATGAAAGATCAATTACTTGTCTGTGTCTTGTATAACTCAGTGTCTTTGTATAGAAGACAGAGGGGTACACTACAGTGGTGATAACCTGAAATCCTTTGTCACTTTACCTTCACAAAATTAATTTTATTTTGTGCTCAACCTCAAAAAGTAGAAATTAGACTTTTTTCAGAATTTGATAAAAGGGAATTTTTTTCTAAAAGTTCATTTTCACTTTGAAAATACGTGTGTAGCATATACTTTGTTCTTTCGTGACCTTATTTTCATCAGGAAAAATGCCTTTCTGAAATATTTTTAAAATTGAATCACTAACTCAATGAAGCAACTAAAAATACTGTACTGAATTTTGCATGTTGAATATGGATGTTATTACTTTCTCCTTTTGTTATTCACTGTGAAAGTCATTACATTTCAGCTGAATTGTTTAAGCATAGAAATAGTATTTAAGTGTGATAGTTTTGAAATCCTAATAAATGTTATTGTGGTGTATTTTAGGTTGTGGATGTTCTGACCAAAGGCAAGCAGCAGGCATTCTTCGTCCCACCGAGCCGAGCTATTGCACATCAGTTAATCAAACACTGGATCGGAATGAACCCCAATCTCTAAATCAAACAACTAAACTTTGACTATGTCTAATTGATTTCTAATCCGACTTATTCCTCAAGTGAAATTAGAAATGTTTAATGCTCTTTAGAATGTAAAATTTTGTTAAATCTGAGTCAGCATTCTCTGAACTTTTTTGAGGAGGTTGTGCTCAACAGTTTTTATCTCACAAAACTGTATCTCTAATAATAGAAATCATGTTGTAAAGAAGTAGATTCTAAAATGTAAATAAACCTAAATTTCATTGCCTCTTATAAGCATTAACTATTCACTAAAGTTCTTTTATGAAAAATGAGGCAAAATATTTTTAATGAATTTTAAGGTTAATTTTTAATGTTTTCATTATTATGAAGGTCCTTTTGGTTGTCATTGGCTCATTTTTGCTCACTTTACCATTGTGATCTACTTTTTTCTCCTGGTTCTATTGTTCTGTCAGTGACACTGTTACAGTGTTGCTACTGGTCTGTTTTGATCAGTGTTAAGAATTTCCTATTTTAACAACTCTATTAGTGATCAGTATACCACACCTTCAGGGAAGGAGAATTTAAGTAAGAGAATATCATTGTATCTGGGATCCCCTTCTTAAACATAAAATTAATTAACATATCTATTTGTTAACTATACTCAAAGTTGTTTTTTAAGACAAATTAGGAGTCTCTTTTTTTCTCCCTAAAATTAAACGTATTTGAAAGGAATTCTTTCCAAATTCATTCCAAAATAATATCTCAGGTAGATTTATATTTTAAATAAAATGGCTTATGTCCTTTTGTGATAAGGGAATGTATCTTCACTAGGAGAAAATTATATAATAATTACTAATAATGTTTATTAAACTCAAATACAGCATCTTGATTTTAGCCTTATTTCAACATTCTAAGAAGCATTTATACAGTAACTATATTTTAGAACTGAATCAGTAAGATTTTAAAGAAAGTAAATTGTAGTAGTTCACAGTTTTGTAACATAGAACTGTTATATTTCACAAGGCTATTTTGAAATTGTTTTAAAAGGTCTTTTATAAATGTATAAATTTATATAATTTTACTCTTTACTATTCTATGGTAGAACTGAAAGAGAACTTAAAAACAATATATGTAGTTCACTGCCCTTTTTTTTATAGATAAGGAAATCTTGAAAAGTGAACTTAATTAATTTGTCCATTAAAGGTGAATTGATTAATTAACAGTTACACAATTACTAGTTATAATTAATACAATTAATTATTGTTAATACAATTAATTATAATCTCAATTAAGTAACTTAATTATTGATACAACAGTCTGTACTGCACAATGCAGGATTCTCACTCTAATAGGAAGCAAAAACTATTACTGAAAGTAAATATGTAATAAAATAGAGGATGATAAGACTAAATTTAATTTACCAAATACTGTTAATTAAAATTTTAGGCACTAAAGTTCATTTAAATAAGTTAACTTTTCTAAACAAAACTTCATTTTACCAATGAACAATGATTTTTTTAGTAATTGATGAAGATATTGATATTAGGACTTGAGACAAAATTCAAACTTATATAAGACATTTAGATACATAATAAGATTTGAACTACATAAGTATATAGAAAATGACGTGCCTTGATTATTATGAAATATAATGACTCCAAGTTCTCTTTTATCCCAAATGTACTTTTAATACTTATAGATTCTAAGATTACATCATAAAATTCTAGATTTTCATAATGTTAGGATAGCCAAGTAAAATATAAAGTATCAATAAAATATAAGTTTAGTTTTTGATATTTAATCCTATACTCAGGGAGAATCAATATCTAAGTAGATTATTGTTTTAATAATTATTCTTAAATTGCTAACCTTGAGAGGTGGATAGTTACACATAAATAGAAGGACTAGCAAAGAAATACTCTAGAGACTCAAGTACTGTGATTGTGTCATAATGAAAAGGAAGGTAACAATACATTAAAATATTTGTTTACTTTCTGTTTTGTGTGTCATGTGTGGTTTTTTAAAATATGTTTTGAAAAGTGTTTTTTGAAAAATGGAAAAAGCCAAATTTTAGTCACCTTCCTCTGTTTAGAATTAGTAGCGTGTAAACAAAAAGTACAAAAGCCTTTTACAAAGTTGCCATATTTGGAAGGCTCAATTTTTTATAATTTAAATGTATTTAATCTCTTTAATCTTACAACTTGGGGTCACATATATTTGTATACATATATAATACATTTTATATATATATATATAATATATATATACACACACAGAAACTTAACATATACACATGTACACATCCAGTAAATTTTATCTTCAGATTTAAAGTTACATATCTAGTCTGTCTGTTTATATTACTTGTCTAACATTACCAGTCTTTGCATTTTTAATTTTTCAGTTGGTTGGAAAAATGATTAAGTAACTTTTTCAAAAATAAGGTTAGGGACATGGATTAAGATAGAAAAGAATGAAGCAACAGAGGGTGATACCATGAGATGGAAGGAGAAAGTATAAGTTTTAATAAGAAAAATAAATTCAATTAAAATCTTATAAACAACAGTAGACAGCTAGTCCTAGAACTGTGTTGCTAATGCGTAGCAAAATACTAAGTGAGACTGCACTATAAAACAAATCTATTAATTATTTACAATAAAATCCCCACAATGCAAATTTAATTAGGGATGAGAACCAGCTACTAGGTTCTGAATGTGTACGTGTGTACGCGTGTCAGTGTATTTGTGCAGGCTCACGCTCTCAAGAGGATGAGATAGTTGGATGGCATCACCGACTCCATGGACATGAGTTTGAGTAGACTCCGGGAGTTGGTGATGGACAGGGAGGCCTGGCGTGCTGTGGTCCATGGGGTCGCAGAGTCAAGACACAACTGAGCAACTGAACTGAACTGAACTGATGCTCTTAAGCTGGAGGTGATGAGTAAAATTTATGTGCTGGGCTTAAAACAGCCAGTTTTCTCTTAGCAGAAAAAGTGTCTAGGACAAAGTAATCCAAAGGGCAAAATTAGGAGCTTCTGTCTTCAGATGTGAAAGATCTGAGTCTTGAGGCAAAACAGAAGTCCTTGCAAAGCGGTTGGAAAGGGAGGGCGGAAGCGTCCGACGTCAGTGCAGAGGCAGGGCCGCTCAGTAAGAGGGGCCCAAGCGCTTGGGAGCGTTGACACCCCAGGGCGGAGAGAGGCCCAGAGCCACCGTGCGCTTTGAGGAGGCCGGAATAATGACGTCGCTAAGAGCCTGCATCTTTAAGGAGAGCCTCTTCAGTCAGGAGAGGACCGTGAAGGAGTTACTTGTGAAAATAAACGGCACTGAGAAGGATTGTTTTTCCCTACACTACACCTCGTCCTTTCTCTTCCCCGCGCACTTGGGTAGAATTCTGAACAGCTTCTGAAAGGCGGTGTGCAATTTACATCATATCCAACAGAGTTTCCAAGGAATTCCATTTATTTGCCCAACGTAGAAATGGTCGCAAGGAAAGTTGTGAGTGATGAGATGGCATGAGAAAAACGGGTCATCAGCAGCCTGAATTCTTTTATATGGGAAAAGCGTTTTCAACTATCAAGTAAAAATCTTGGTAATGTTGATTGGCGTACCAGGCAAATACTGTGTTCACTGAAAGATACCCACATATTAATATAATTGCACTCACTGGTGGAAGTAGCAGTTGTAACTCTTTATTCCTTCAAGAGTGCATGTCTCTTACTGCTAAGCGGATAACATCATACATTGGACAACAGACATTTCTCCTTTTCATGATTTCCATTATAATGATGCTTTTAAAACAAACCTTAAGCTTTTGCTAGTGGATACACTTTTCTAAGGAAGTCTGATGAGAGAGAAACTACCACAGAAAGAATGAAGAATGTCCTGACTCGCACTCCTGGGCTCATGGGAACTCCTTGTCTTAACCCTGATGGATTAAGAACATTCTCCTAACCACTTAATTGGGGAAGTAGTTTCATTTTTAGTCATGTGGAAATTAGACCCAGCAGTAGAAATGGAAAATAGTACTCGTATCTATTTTAGAACAGAGAAGTAGACAAGTGATCCAGTCTGAAGCTTATTTTTGTTTACTTTTTATCCTGCCCATTTTACTCTAGCCTGAAATTACACTCTATTTAGAGCAGTGTGATGTTTTGAACACCTCAGTAGAGTACCTTATAAATATTTATTACTGCTTTCAGATAGCAGTGAGCTGAAGTCATCTCCATCAATGGGGTAAAAACGATTTAAAATGCCATTTATCCAACAGCTTTGCTGCTAAGAGTTACTTTGCTTTTTTGCTTGGTTTACTTGTGTTTATAAAACAAGCTTAAATACTCCAGTGCCAAATAGTTTGGAGGACTTGGAACTCCAAAGAAAAGATGCCCCAACAACATGCAAATTCAAATCTCAGGAGCCGTGCTGGTCCAGACCATCATCTGCTCTGCATTGTCATAGTGAGGGCTTCAGTGGGAATCTCGCCAGGAGGGGGAAGCCAGTCGGAACACTGTGTGTTCTAGGGTAACAAGGGAAAACACAGACCTGTGTAGAGGTATCTAATTATTATTGTTTTTGAAAAATACTCTTATGTTGTACAAATTACTAGACTTGCCATCCTGATCTTTTTATTTTCCCAGCCATTTTATACTTCCTTATGAGTAATATGCATATTTGTCATTCTGTTAGGATGACGTATTCATCACATAAATGCTTTATTTTCTTTTTGGGCTTCCCTCGTGGCTCAGCTGGTAAAGAATCCACCTGCAAGGCGGGAGACCTGGGTTCGATCCCTGGGTTAGGAAGATACCCTGCAGAAGGGAAAGGCTACCCACTCCAGTATTCTGGCCTAGAGAATTCCATGGACTGTTGGAGATGACTGAGCAACTTTCACTTCACTTAATATCATTAAAAGGGCACATAAGTCTCTTTGTTCAGTATATCTGACATCAATATTAATAAATTATAAGTTCAATTTAAATCTAGTTTTCTGGACTTTGTAAAGGTTATTTTTTCCTGTTCTAGTATATTTCTAAGAATTACTATGGAT